CGCGGTGGGGCGGGAAATAGGGACTGCCTGGGGGAGTGGGATGCGGAGGGCCGTTGCTAAGTGATCCACACCGCTAGGTTGGTGGGTTTCTGGGTTGCAAGTGTTGACCGTTTACTACGTCCGCTCCCCAAATTACCGATGATCGCTAAGGCCCCTCGTAGCTAAGAGCATAAGTTGTCGCGGTCCCGATTGCTAAGGGTACCTGGTTGTTAGGGGCAACTGTAGGATGCTAGGGGAACCTAGGTGTCCCCTCCTATTTCTTCCCCCGTGCCTCTCCAAAACCTACCACCTCCACTCCGCTCCTAAACCTGCCTCCCAACCGAGGTATCTCTCCTTATCTTCTCTCCCTCTCTAAACTTCTTCCTGCCTTGTAAACCTAACCCGCCACACACACGCTCACTATGTCCTTCCTAACTCCTCCTAAGTCTTCCTCCACGCCCTGTGTCTCTAATTTTCTCCCACTCCTCCTATGCCTTCTCCTCCCCAGCCTCTCTGCCCCTGATAACCACCTCTCCCGGCAGCACTTTCCGCTCTAATCCGATCTGTCTTTCCCATCCCCCCAACTACTTATTTTTACTACCAGCCCGGCCCCTGTGTAACTAGGTTAGTGGGTCTTCTTGCCCCCTCCCACTACCATTCTGAACCCCTTCATTCCCCCTTAACCATTCTCCCCACTGTAACCACGTCTGCTCCCCCAGCCTCTGACCCTCTGGAGACCCAGGCAGGGAAGGTGCAGGAAGCTCAGGTGAGATGGGGGGAAGGGTGGAGGGAAGGAGAGAGATGGACTTGTTTCCATGTCCGGCACTGGGGGGAGGTGGCAGAGGGGCCCTTGGCTCGTTGCCCCAGTCTCTTGCCCCACCTGGTGCAGTCTCCTGAGAAAGGTGGATTCTGGGGACTGTCAGAGAAGAGCGTGCAGCCTCAAGCCCAGGCCTGCCCCTGCCTCATCCTTTTGGAACCAAATTTGTGCTTGACCTGGAAGAGACAGGTCTCCCATTTGGTCTCTGAACTGACAGATCTCATGGACATTCTCCCATCACTTGTCCATGAGAAGTAATTCAAGGTCCTGGGGGAACCCAGAGTAAACTTTGTGGGTTATAGAATATTCCATCTGGCCCTTCCCTGGAGGAATCCACAGGTTGGTCTGGCAGTCAGACCGAGATATAGACAGAGCGTAATAAGTGAAGAGTGACTTAGAATTTTCTTGGACAAGGTGAGAAATGGTGTTCTACACAGAGGATACAGCTGGTACCAAGACCTGTGGGCATGAAAGAGTATGATGTGTTCAGTAGTTGGACGACTGGGGGTGTCAGCTAGTTATAGTCATGGTTAGCGTTTATGGGCTGCTCCAGCCAGGCACTTCTGCTTCATGCTGTATGTGTGCCATCTCATTTAATCTTCCCAATATTCTTGTGAAGGGAAGGCCTGTCATGGCCATTTTGCAGATGAAGAGTTTGAGGCAGAGTTGTTGTTGTGGTTGAGTCAGGGTCTCACTCTGCCACCCAGGCTGGAGTGCAGTGGTACAATCACGGCTCACCTCAGCCTCAACCTCCTGGGCTCAGGTGATCCTTCTGCCTCAGCATCCCGTGTAGCTCGGCCAACAGGTGTGCACCACAGTGTTCAGCTAATTTTTTTAACTTTTTAATTTGATATTGATATTTTTTAGAGACAAGGTTTCACTATGTTGCCCAAGCTGGTCTAGAACTCCTCAGCTTCCCAAAGTGCTGGGCTTAGAGGCGAGAGCCACGGCGCTGGGCAAAGCAGAGTTGTTAAGTAAGTTGCCCTTGTCCCTCAGCTAGAGGAGCAAGAAAGGGTTTGAGACCCACAGCGCTGGGCACACTGCCTTCTAGACAAGCGGGGAGAGGTAGACACCAACACCTCCAGTGCGCCCTCGAGACCTTCCACAGAGCTTCACTGTGTGCAGCGTGAAGGAACGCCAGCCACCCACACCCTCGAGATCACGCCTCAGATGTGGGGCAGTGCAGAACTGGAATGAAAATGCCTCACAAATGTACAGCGGGGTGATGCCGAGGGCATAAGGGCCTCCTGTTAGGCCGTGATGCTCCACTCGCCCGGCTCCCAAAGCACAGCCACTGTCAGAAAAAGGTTGCACTAAACAGGGATCCTCAGTCCCCAGGAGAGGCGTGCGAGGGTGTAAATTGCAGCATTGTCCAAGATGGGCAAAACTGGAAACCGTCCAAACGGCTGTCAGTGGATGGGTTAAATGAACTATGGTTCATCTGTACAATGCGATACTATGTAGCTGCTTTAAAAAATGAGGTGGGTCTATGGTAGATTGTTCTGTGGAAAATGCAAGGGGCAGCATCATACTATATGGAATGACCGATTTCTGTTACAATAATGAGTTTTTAGATGCAGAGAAAAAAGTTGGAGTAATTACCATTGAGCCATTCATAGTGGTTATCTTGGTCTAGGTGGGACGGGGTAATTCAAGGCAAGTGCCTCAAGTGAAACATTGTTTAATGGCCAAGGTTTTTGCAGAGCTTGTGGAATGTTTTTTTTTTTTTTTGAGTTGGAATCTCACTCTGTCACCCAGACTGGAGTGCAGTGG